GGTACATATTTTTTTATATTGTCGAAAACACTTTTAAACTACTAGAATTTTGTATCCTATCAAATGCTTGATGTGATAATGAAAATTAATCATTTAACACTAAGAGGAAATTGACTGTATTAGGCCATTCGAAAAAATTTGATTGCTGTCCATTGAATGGAACGGTAGTTAAATAATTTTAAAAACGGACCAACGCAAAAGGGTATATATAAAATATAAATATATATAAATTTGTTTATCAGCAAGGAAATATATTGATTTATATTATTTAAATTAGAAATGGGAAAATTGGTGTCCCACAGGCACATGATTTGGTTATTTAAAGTTTAATTCTCATGATCGGATTAACCAATACAAAATTGGAAGAACTCAAAATTCTGGAAATGTTGCATTCTAATCTTACTCTTTTTCTTCTTTTTTTTTTTTTTTTTTTTTTTTTTTTTTTAAAATAAGTTGTCCCTGTGGAATTTTTTTTTTTTTTTTTTTTTTTTTTTTTTTTTTTTAAATAGTGTCCCTGGAATTTTAGTTGAGATTCTAGAAATTTGTTTGATAAGGAGAGGAAGTGCATATATGCCTAAAAATGAAATGTTATATCATTGGAAATAGTATAGTATATATATGTTTGCTGAGCTTTGGCCAGTAAGGGATCATCTAACAAGGATATATGTAGTAATTATTTATTGAGGATTTGAATTGATATACGTACATTCTGATTAAGAAATTAAAAGTTAATCACTAGTATTATCTATGTAGGTAATTCGATTAAAAATACAAAAAAAAAAAAAAAAAAACCAGGAAAACTGGAATGCATAGGGAGACTGATCAACTGTCTGTAGGCAATAATGATAAAAATGGCTTAATTCCTATTCTTTTTAGTTTTGCCAGCGGCCCTTTTTCTTTTGGTTCGTTCTTTTTCAAGGGTCAATAAGGGCCACCATCTTTCTTCTTGACCATGTAATAAATAGGTTAAAAACGGTTATTATCTTGTGTGATACAGTGTATTTAGATCGGACTAGATTAATCTATATGCAGTAGCAGCTGATTATAATTACTAGTAGGTCTACATAATAAAAAAATAACAGATAAATTCCATATTGAAAAAAAAAAAAAAAAAAAGTACCAGAAAACTGAATGCATAGGAGACTGACACTTGTCTGGTAGGCAGATAATGATAAAATGGCTAATTCCTTTCTTTTTAGGTTTTGCCAGCGGCCCTTTTTCTTTGGCGTTCTTTCAAGGGTCAAAAGGGCACCATCTTCTTCTTGACCATGTAATAAATAGTTAAAACCGTTATTATCTGTGTGATACAGTGAATTAGATCGACTAGATTATCTATATGCAGTAGCAGCTGATATAATACTAAGTTAGGTCTTACATAATAAAATAACAGATAAATCCATTGAAATTTCCTACAAAACAAAGTATATAAAATTATTTATCTTTTGATTGAATAATAATTATCCAATTCTAAATCATTAATATGCGTCCAGAAATTCAAATTGAAGTCCTCTAGCTAACAAATATAAAAAAAAAGAACTGGAGTTCAAGTTACCTCGTTCACAGTTCATATATTATTTCGAAAGCAGCTCTCCTTCCCCATTTCTATGTCCCTATCCCTTCCATCTCCTCTTTTCCATTGAAGGAAAAGAAAGAAAAGAAAGTTAAGAGGAGAATAGTCAACGCGGAGCTGAGGAAGAAGGGATTTGGGATCCCATTTCATGGAAGTATAGATAGGTATAGGTGTGTTTCACGTGGCATCATCATCAATGATTCAGTGATAGTGGGAAATAAAAGAATTTAGTTTTAGGCAAAGCATGCCATTTTTGACTTTACTGAAAAAGTGAAACATTATATTTGTTCAGGATATTGAATTCCCATGTGTTTTTTCATTTTTTTTTTTCCCTGTAATAACCATTGTTGCATGTAAGAATTGCCAGATTATTCCTTGTACACCCACTTCTGCTACTTTCTTTCAAATCTTATCGGAAAGTGCCAAGTGGTAATTCTATATGTCAACCCACTCATAATTGAAAAGTTTCTATAATTGCTGATTTTTGTTTACTAATCCCATTCTGAATTCAGATTTTATTCAGTTAATTAATCTCATTTACAATCATTATAATCTGTATTCAATCATAATCAATATTTAATTGAATTATTTTTTAATTTTAATTAATAATAATTATAGGTGATATTAGCATTTTTTTTTGTTTTTATAATTGAAGTTTATTATTTCTTTTTTTTGTCTTTATTGACAAAAAAGAAACATTGGGACTAAAAAGAAAAATAATAATGCTTTTTGTTCTTTGAGGAAATAAAGTGTTTAAAATAACAAGTTAACTTAATTAATCTCTTAATAATTAGACTAAATTTGATTAACTTTCTAATATTTTATTGTCATATTACAATAAAATTTACTCCTATATGTGTTCTCCATTATAACTTAGATTTACAGATCAGATTCTTTCTATTAATAATTTATGATTTCTATTTTCCTTGGGACTTAATCATACATCTACCACTCATATATTAATTAAGAAAGAATAAGTTTAAGCCTGTTGAATGTTGATAATGACACTGCATCTGACGGAGAATATACATACATACTTCTTATGTCATGATATATATAATATAATATGATTTTCTGGTTTATTATATTAAATTTGATAGTGCTATATGGCAATCTGTATGTGGGAAAAATGTCAGCAGAACACCGCACACATGTGTATGATTGAAAACAACTCCATAACCAGATTGAATAATTATGCTCTCTCTATATATGACACTAAAAGAAAACAGTGCAAATGCATATCTTTCTTGAAGTAAATCTCATTGGAAAAAAGAAAGAAAAAAAAGGGTTCAACATATCAATTTTCGGATTCTTTAAAGAGATAAAGAAATTGAGCACTTTCCCAGATAAAATATATATATATGAAGGGTTGAAATTATTTCGTATGCTAATGATGGATTGGATTAGTTAAGCATTTCACCAGATAAAACTAAATCTTTCAATTGTTCATGTATCATTAATTCCCTAAATAATAATTAAGTAATACATTACACTTCTACTATCAATTATTGGATTAAAGTAATACTAGCTAATGAGCTTTTTCCATTTTTTAATTGAGAAATACCATTTCCTGTAGTGATTAATAGAAGTTGATAAGCATAGGTAGCCAGTTACTAAGGAAAAGCAACGAGAGTCAGTCTTTTATGCTTTGCTAGCTTTTGTTTGTTAATGTGTGGCAAGCAACTGAAACCAGTTATCCCACACGCAACTACATGTATAAAGTTTGATAAATTATGTAGGGTTGATATTCATTTGAAGCGAAAAATTGTTCTCCTCGTCTGCGCAGAAGTTGAATCAGATATCAAAGTTGTATATGCGTCTCTACGCCTGTTCAGAAATGATATTCAAGTAAAACCCTCTCAACAGTTCGATCACTTCCTCTTTATAATTATGGTAGTAAAATGACACATTTTTATATGCATTCAAAATTTTAAAAAATGAAAAGATCGTTAGAGATTGAATATCTCATCTTCTGTTATTGTAACGCAAAGCAAACACTTGACCACTGGGGAAGAATGAATTTTTGGGGATTTATTTATCAAAGAACTTTAAAGAGACAGAAGACATGGTTCGTGGACTTTTGTTTACATTTGAAAATCCAAGTGACTGTACTATACATGTGATGATAGTATTCATAGTCCTTTTTAGTCGGCAAGATGTTGTCTTTTGTAATGAGAAACTGAATATTCTTTTGACAATAATAATAATAATAGTGCAGTAGTCCATTATTAATGTTATGGTATACTTTAATAGCCTTTCATATACAGCTAGACTGCATATCTATTAAGGTCAGCCATAAGTTATAATCTATTTTCTGAACCAGAAAATGGGTGAGAGAAAATATCAAAATGCCTTTTCCTTCTAATCAGATTGTGAAATGACCTTAAAATCTGAAGTTGAATGATATATGAACGTCACACACTCTCTTTATTGAACTAGTGGTTCTTCTATTTTGTAGCAGAAGCAAGTCCTGTTCCGAGCAATCTAATATACAGGCATCCATAGTATATGTAGCAAATTAAAATTTTCTTTGATTTCTAGCCATTGATTGGTTTGAGGTGGGATTTGGAGGAAGTTGAATAAATATATCCCACATGCAAAGCCATTATTTTAGTTTAAGAATAGGAAAGTCACATCCATTGCAACACAAACCCATGACACACGGGTATAAGATTCTTTACCATTTGATCGTGGGAGGTACTGTTTCATTCAAGCATGACACTATGGATCAGGAACTACTTGATAACAAAAAGATGGTAACTTATCAAGGCCATAGCTAGGAAATGATGAGCTTTTGAATTTTTAATGATTTAGGAATCTTCATTATATCTGTATAGATTTCTATACTGATGTCGAACCACAAATCAAACACAACCATGTGAGTGATTGAGGTGGTAAATTGAACGCGTAAGTTTTTGTCTATTTCTTGTGTATGTACGGATTAAAATAAAAATGGTATTTTAGAATATTTGCATGCTTTTTATGTCTAATGAGAATATGTGTAATTATAAGTTGATTTAGAATAAAATTACTACATGTGACAAATACAGGAATAAATTTTAGATATTGCCTGTCCTCTATTACCTGTTATATTAAATGTATTTAGTCATACGGTACCCCTAAATATACTATCTATTATTGGTGAAAAATATATTTTAAGTAAATTTGAATTTAAATAATTGAAAATTTACATGTGTCCTACTTGTTTTAAGGGGTACTTAAACGAGTTTAATATTCTACACTGTTTGGATGTGAAATATTTTAATTATATGTCTCTTCTTTTTGTATGAATGCATTAATTTCCTCCATTTTTTCCTTTTGTTTTTCTTTTGTGACATGAAAATTTTTAAAAGAGATATTAATGTTTTTTAATTTGATAAATATCGTTGAACTAAATATTAACCCAACGGCTGTCAGTTATAAATTCACAAACTATTTCTTGAGCAAGAACTACTAGAAAAATAATGATGAAGCTTTTACTTTGCTTCATATTTATATCTCCCAATCCATCAGTTCTATTTATTATAATAATGATGAACGATGGTGATGATAACATGCAATGCATGGAACATTCTCCAAAATATATATATAATTATTATTCTAATGGTGTACATCACTAAAACAATAAATTTTATTTTATTTTGAAAAATTGTATGAAAGAATGAAGACAGAAGCCACCATACAAAAAGAACGCATATTGTATTAATTGGAAGAACAGAAGAAAACTGATATTTCTTGCTAAAAGAAAGACAGAAGAAAGTGCAAAATACCAAAATCAAATTAATTAACAACAAAATTGGAAATTTCTTGTGCTCTTTTTTTTTTTTTGTCAACGGCCGACCAACCACCCAAAAAGTTGTGTAGCTTTTCTTTTGTTCGTCTACAAGATGAACACATCAAAATATTCCTATCAGAAATGGAACGGGATGTCCTTTTTCGAGTGATGAGAATGAGACCTCCGTTGTGTGAGACTTTGTGAAAAGATTTGCCCCAAAACGACAGCCACGCATGCATGCGAAGTGTGGGCTGGATATTCATATTCTTAAAGACGAAAGCAAATTTACAATTTAGCAATTCTATGGCGTTTTGCGTTACTCAAAATCACATCTTGCTACATTGATCTTCGAAAATAATTAAAAAAGCAAACGTCAAATCCAAAGGTAAAAGAAAAAAAAATGTTTGGAAGAAAATTTCAGAAGATGAAAGTGTGTCTGGTTGACTTGTTCAAATAATTGAGAGAAAATGGTATTGGAAATGGATTGGCCTCTGACTTTTACCATCCACTGCTGTTTCTATTCATACCATCTTTTTCATTTGATTCCATTTTTCATAAGGACAAATGGGAAATCACTTTCAGAGACCTCCTAATAGTGTTTGATTGTGAAGAAATATTTTCTGTTTGATTTTGTCGACCCGCAGGACCATGCATGCAGGCCTGTTTCTGTAATTATATGGATAATTAAATTTAATTTATCCTTAGGTATGATTTAATTGGTACTTTCATATTTTTTAAAATTTATAGTTAGTTAATTAATTAATTATTAACATAATAATTCAATAGTTAAATATTTATCTTGCAATATAAAAAATTATAAATTGAAAAAAATTTTCCCATCTCTACTTAATTTTGAATTAATAAAAATATTAACTTTTTATTATTTTATATTGACGTGTTAATGAATTTGGATTTTTTTTTTTATTTTAAAAAAAGGCATTTGCGTGTACTTACGTATAACCCATGACAACGTCGCGTCCTACTGGGCCAGGTGTTGAATTCCTGCTTTGAAATGACAGTAATGGGCCCGTTCAAAAAAAAAGGAGCCGATTTTTGAACGGTATTGGGCTGAGCTTTGCCATACCATATGGGCCTCCTAATTTCCTGTTTAATTTGTTGGGCCACCATTTTTTTATTTTAATCTTAATTTTTACCTTGCATTTGTGATTTGTGAACAAATGACCCTAGCTGGAAAGACTTTTCTCCGTCCGCCAACGACAGGAAACAGCAAAACATTTTGTGGCAGCTGGAGAAATTCCAATCCAAACAATGCGGCTTTGTCAGAAGTCAAAGCTTCTCTCTCGCCTGTGACTACTGCCGATCACCACTATATTCTGTACGGCCAGATTCTACACCATCTCCACCGCCGCGCCACCACAAAACGCCACTGGTAACTCTCTCTCTCGTTACCGCCATTTCTTAACAAGTAACCAATTTGGTTAAATTTGGTGCTGATTATGGCCATTGAAGGCACTACATCTTCTATTTTCTTGTAAGTTAATTCAAGCGTGTTATGAACTGATTCTGTCAACTTCCAAGGCTTGTAACTGTAGACTTGTAAATGGTGCATAGTACTTTACACTTAAACAGAAAAGCTTTTGTTCTGTGTCTTTGCAAAGAAGCATTTTAGAAGTTTTGCAAATAATTCATACAATTTATAAACACATCAAATTTTCAGGATTACCGTGAAATCAAATAGTACAAAAGAAGTGACTATTTGGGGAAAATTCACACTCAAACAAATTTCTATTGACAGAGAAAAAGAACAGTTAAGGACGTGTTCCTGCACTTTCTCTGTGTGCCTGCGGGTTAGTTCCCATTGCATTATGCTTTCCTATGGAAAACATTTATACAAATCACGCAAAGCAAAAATAAAAAATAAACAAAAGATAAGATAAGGGAATTTTTTCTACACTGGCAATAACGGTGGAGTGAGAATTGAGCAGTTGTCAGAAACACTCCAGCAGCTCTTTGTGTGAAACATTTCGATGTCTTTGATCTTTCTTAGCTGACACTCGCATCATTTAACTCATGTCTAAGTTTTGTTTTCATCTGATGGGGCACACGAAATACCAATTGCAGTGTTGGAGAGTGCGGCAACGTTAGTACCTATTTCCATGAATCTGCAGTCGTACAACAAAATTAAGTTTGCAATCATGAATCATGTTATATGGTCACGAGTCACATATATTTCCTTTCTTGCGTGTTTTTGCACTTGTTCTTAATATCAGATTGATTCATACTCACATCAAAACCAACGACTGTTCTGCAGTAAGTGGTGTTTGTGAGCACTGTACTGGTGGATCCGCATTCACTATCTTTGAGGGATACTGTTGATCTGTCAAGTTTAGTTGACCATGGATATTGGTAATTCTGAGCTGTAGCCCCGACATGTGAAGATGATCGCTGCATTCGCATGGCCCTTGGAATATTCCTTCCTTCAACTGATGCCCTCCTTCTGCTTGGTTGCCTCTCAAACGAGTCTGGCCTTTGTTTTGGCGCACTATGTGACCGAACTTTTGCTCTGGAAGATTCTGTGTTTGCCATGTAATTTGGAAATAATGGGTAGTCATAGGACAATGATTCTGCATATTCTGGCTGGGGAAAAGCAAACGGAACTCTTGATGGTTCAGGTTTTGATACTGCAGAATAGTAGGGGCTGCTTTCTGCTGTGTTGAGGGAATAGTCCTCAAAATGCCCACTGCAGCCTCTGGGGCTCATGTCGGTTAGAGCTGATGGAGCTGGTGAGAGTTGGCACTTGTCTGGCTTCGAGTATACATGGTTTAGTGATTCATAATATGTGGAAAATCTAGGGTCTTCATATTCAGGTTGTGGTTGGTGTGAATAACTATTTCTGCTCTTTGTGCTTCCCTTTGCTTGTCCAAGATCCATCTCAACAATTTTGATGTTCTCCTCCATGCCTCTATCAGTATCCTACATCCATCAAAGCCATGTTGCATACCATTCAATCTTGATAAAGTTAGCCAAGAATTGATAAATAATTTAGATTTTCTTTTCCCATTTTTTAACTGATATTGAGCAGACTAGGAAGGATATTGTTGATCAATAGATATTCCAAGCATGAAAGAAAATAGAACTTATTCCTTTCTTGAGATACGGGATAACTTTACTGTTATTGCTCCTGTTTGAAAATCAAAAGATATGAATTGGAAATTCCAACATAAACGAAATAACGCGTACATAATTTAAATGTCTAAATCTGTTATCGTGTGTTGATTTTTTGTGGATTGATTGTCTCTGACTAGCAGGCTTTGTTTCTTCTGCCATTAGGATCCTTTGGGCTCGAGCTCTAGCCTGTACAGTCACCAATGCCTGCATACACCGAAGTGTAGCAGTGGCCTGTTTCCTTACAAGGTGACCTCTTACTAATGCCTGCAACTTCACTAATCCTTTTAATGCACATAATGCTTTTCTTGCCTGTGAACAGCACAATGAATACAGTTCTTATCATCATCTTCGTAATGACATTCTTTCAACTCGCAGAAGACATGTTAATTTCCAGATTAAAGATAAAAAAAGATCAAGAATTGCGTACCAGATAAGAACGGAAGACGGACTGAATCTTTATGGCAGCAGCCTCTTCAATAGCACGTGTTTTCTGATTGGCAACAGTTGTTAGGCGGAGCACAACAGCTGCATCAGCAGCTACAGCTGCTGCCAAAGCCATTGCATGTTTCTTCTGCTCGTTTTCAGAATCTGATGTAGCCTGCACCGGGGGTTGTGATGTGGCAGTCGGTTCTGTAGAATTCAAGTCCCTTGGAGTTGGAGCTGTTGCTGTTGCTGAAGATCTGCGAAAACTCCATCGCCTTTTTTCTTTCTGAGTAGTTGGTGTGGTTGAAATTGGAGTCACTGGATTCTCAACACTAATTGTTAGATTCTGATCAGTTGTATATTTTTCTTTATCTTTCTTTCCTGTCAAGAAACTTCTAAGCCATTTCCCAGCTTTCCCCATTTCTATAATCTTTCTAATCTAGGGTGCATTGGATTATAGCAAGATCATAAAGAAAGAAACAAGTGAGATGCAAACAGATCTCTCCGTTTCTACTTATATTTTCATAAGTAGCTTTCAACACTGTAGTGGTCCACCTTATTACAACACTATCTAATTGCATTCCCTTTTTTTTACTGCCTAATCGTTACTGTTTCACTATCCGCATTCTCTATTATAACTACCAGTTCCGAAAGATCATATGGTGTTTCTGTTATATTTATTAGGTAAGGCCTGCAAGAAAACAAAGAAATAGAAAGGAAGCTCCCAGTAGAGGTACCTGACACCATCCTAGAAGATCATTACCAGAGATTCTTTGCCTTCGATCTAACTTATTTAGCTACCCATTTTGTCCTTCCAGGTAAGACTCATTCCTTTGTGTCTATCAGGGTGTTAAATGTAATTTTAACTTTATGCTATGTTTCTTAATGACTAAACATGGGATGGCGAACCTCAGAAACCATGTGAAAATGGGTCAAGAACATGCAGAATCCGTGTAAAATACTCATTTTCAGAGTAGCGGAGAGGATTGTCCACTTGAGTTCTATTTTTGGGTGATGAATTTTAGATCTTGTGTCATTTTGTGGTGATGTGGGTCCTTGAGAGTATTGTAGAAAGGGTGTGCACGTGCTTATCCTATCCTAGCTGGTGGATTCTGCACTGTCTTTAGTGTCAAGTTTGTTAATGCTAGTCAAGAAAGCGAAGATGGCCTTCTGATAGTTTACCTGAATCGCAGTTACCATTTTTCCCTTTCTATCTTTTTCCTATGTCCAAAAAGTGTAGGGGTCCCGTTGCTTTCGTAACCCTATACTAAAGACACAGCTGTTTGATGATAGATGATGAGAGTATGATAGCAGTTGTTGGGGTGACAGGATAATTAATATCAGAGTTACTATCTGGCTTTTGCTTATCGATTACACTGCAAATTGTCCCAGACCGGTACCACTTTAGATGGCATTAGATGCACATCCCATGGAAAGGAAAGGATTGTAAACTAAGAAAATGTAGCATCAGATAGACTTGTTAATTTTTGAGACCCCAATTGAGAAAATTGACAACTTTACTAAAAATCATCTAGGCTACGATTCAAATTCAATAGAAAAATGTACGTCCTTTAATTCCTTTTTTTTTCTATTTTGCTCCTTGTACAATAAAGATAAATGCTTCAAATAAGAAAGTGTGTTAGATAATTGATTAGGTGAACATAGGCTCTTGATCTTAAACAGAGCGTTTGTTAGTACATGAACATTGCATTAATGGTATTAGGCCCATCTTACCTAATGATAGAGGAACGATTTAGGGCATTATTAATAATATTTAAATAGTGATAAAAGGATTAGTTGGCAATCACATGGTATGTTTATATGCTTTGCTCTTGGACTAGTTGTTTGGTTTAGGGAAACACGATCCTGTTGGATTTTTGTCCATTTTCCTTCTCTGTAACTGCAAGTGCTCTAATCCCTAATCTCTTTGTGAGAATTTAAGATATTATTAGGTACATTATTACCATGTTGATGCTTTGATAATTATTTTCACATGGAATAAGTAGACTAGAAAATTGTTGGTAAATTGTTCTGAATATCTGTTGGGTGGGTCCTGGTAGAGATATATTTTGTCTTGTCTCAAATGTTAATCATGTGAACACAGTCCATATCCTTCCAAAGACATTCTGTATATTGCCTCTTAATAATATTATCATGTCATGTTATGTGATTAAGTATTGGTTTTATTCTTAAAAAAGAATCTATTTTGATTTACTGAAATTGGTAAAATTTCTGGCAAGAGGTCATGTCATCATGCTCGTGGTGTAGACATTTAAGACTATAATACATGCATGTGAAAGATTTCTTATTTGAAGATGAAACTTTTCCTCTTTTTGTTTGTATTTGTAACTCCTTTTTATTTATCCAAAAAGAAAAAAGCACTAATCAAGTGGGTCAGGAGGTCGCCGACGTTCTTCTTTCTGACAGTTGGTTGTTTCCTCATGTGAGAAAAAACGATCTGGATTGCTAAGTTTTTGTTAGGCTTGGTTAGATCGTATTTAAGTTTAATTCGTTTATTGATTGAGTTGGATAAATGAATTTGGACTGGGTTTGTTAAACTTATTTTTGAGTCAAGTCCTTTTATATTTGAATTTACTTTATTTATACTTTAGTTTGGAATTATAATCCTTAGGGTAATTGTTTAATCTAATTGCACCAAAGTTTAGTAAATGTGTTTCCATAGTCTTCTTCTAGTAAGAGGACCACAGACACAGAATAGTATTTGAAGTAAGAAGAGTGGACACTTAAACATCTTACAACCTTCCATAAGAGCGATGCTCTTGGATCATGTCGGATTTACTCTGTTCATATTTACATTTTTTATATATATCTATAAATTTTACCTTCACTTTACGAGGTAAATGAAGTGATTTTAGTATTTGAATGCACTCAGCTGATCGATTGAATTTGTACTTTGTTTTAGGGAATATATTTGTTAGTTCGAAATGTTCGAGTTCTATTAACTTGTATTTTAATATATTTAGAAATCACTCGTGAATATTTTTTTTTAGAAGAAAATACTTTAATGACTTAAATCAAGAACAAGAAGAGTTTCAATAGCAGAAGGAATAAATTGAATTCACTTCGAATATTATTAATGTTGTTGAAAATTAATTCAAATATATGATTGAATTCATAAAATAAAGAAATAAACTTTGGAACAAATTGTGAATATCAACATAATTTATAACCTTTCATTTTTCTTCAAATGAGAAATTTTTCATTTGGATAAATATGGAATATTATTTTGGCAAAAACAAAATATTAGGGGTAATATATATGTGAATTCCTGAAAGCAGTCAAATTAAATTTTTGTTTCTCCAGAGTTAATAAAATATGGATTTGAATTTCCATACTTGGGATCCCAAAAAATAAAAGGTTGGCATTAAAAGAGAACTATTTACGAAGCGGTACAGTTTATAACAATCCATTTAAAAATAAATACTGGGCTTTGAACCATTTTAATATTAAGCATTAATGGACCTGGAAAGTAAAAAATTGTTGCCCAATTTATACGGCCCAAAGCTGTGAAAGTCGCAAGCGTCCGCAAAATCGCCAAGTCATCAACTTTGTTGCCATGTAAGACATTCTGCCATTTGTCAAGTTTATAGCACGCCAACTGTCAGAAACGACAGCAACTTGCGACCACATCATCTTTAGTGCCAGCTGTTCACCAAGTCGGCATGAACTTACGGCCACCTCATCAATCGTTCCAGCTGGGAGACACGTGTCACGTCAAGAAGTTATCCATGTCACTATCTAAGCCTGTGGTGCCACTGTCAGTCTGCAACATGCCAACTGTCTGACAAGTCATCAGTGTCGTCCACGTCATCATAGGCGGCCCAGCTATCGTCCAAATCAGCACGACTAATTGGCCATGTCATTGTAAAATGCCAAGTGGAACATAGTGACACGACAGCTCCAACGTCATCATCTATGTCACCGCGGGTGCAGGTGATCACCTGTCAATGTGCAGCATGCCACCTGTCATCTTACGTCATCAACCTACTCACACGTCATCCACTTCACGCCAGGTGTCTTGTTCTTGGCATGACTGAGAAGCACAGCATGGTCTGATGCCACCCGGAAGAGACGTGATGACCTTTTGTCCATGTCATCTGTTCGTCCATGTCACTATGACTTCTGACACGTCATCTTTGACTGGCAGTTGGATGACACGCAACCTCGACTTTCTCCACGTCATCCAGCCTGGCCACGTGGGATATCCAGCAGGTCTGCATGACGTACTTGACACATTTTACTGCCAGCTGGTTTACACGTAAGGCGGCAGTTGCCAACTGTTATCGGTGTTGGCATGTTGTCATGTGACACGTCAGCAAAAGCACCAGTTTTCAGCGTGAACAGTTCATCTTATGCCACGTCAGCATTTGGAAGTTGTCTGTCATATCAGCAATTGTACATCAGCGTAATCTGTGCCACTTGAGGAACGCGTGGGACATTAATTTGTGACACCACATTTGATGCCGCGTTGCATTGAAATATTCTCTCCCACGTCAGTATATTAATTTCTGACAGTTATTATATTGCGCCGCCGTAGCATGAATTGTGAACTTGATCGTGGAGAGAGAAGCTGAAAATTGACGGGGTAGCATAGCGTTGCCGGAAACGGAAAATTCAAATTTGAAAGCTTCGAACTAATCCCAGATCTGCACATTTCATTTACGTAATCTACACTTTAGAAGGATCAAATTCTCTCCATTTTGTTCTCGAAGAGGCAACTCTTTCAAGATATATTTTTTTTCTCTACTGAAACTCCATTTTTCTTTCTAATGGCGTCAAGGATTTCGAATTTCCTTAAGCTCATCTTCTTCTCAGGCTTGCATTTATGTTTGTTTTTTTTTTCCGCTTTACTTTTGTTCCAGTAGAAAAGCACTCACCTCACAACAACCACTGTGACTATTAAAGGATAGTCATTACAAATCCGCTCACAAAAACAGAAATTCCTGAATTTTCATATATCTTATACAGTTCCAAATCGGTGCCCAATTACGGTCCCACAGAAGTTAAATCCATCGTATCCTGTTAGTTGAGAATGAGAATATATATAAAGAATGTATCCATTAGAATTTAGAATACCCATTCAATTGTTGACTTTAGAGCCTGTTATGACTTTAGAGTATTAAAGAGAAGGCAATGGGAAGCATGCATGTACAGTTGAGATGGCCTTCAATTCCATGGTTTCATTAATTGAGTTGCAACTACTTCTGTTGACTACTGCTTCATTCATTTAAATTTCACACAACTCATTCATAAGTCTATGCAAAGAGGACCAATCTAATCCATCCATTTGCCCCACAATCTCTAGCTCTATTCAGAGTCTCTAGGCCACACAATTAACGAGGCTAAGAATCTTCTCTTGGAAAACCTTTTTCACCATCATTAATTGGTCTGCTGCTGCACAAAACTAATTTAATCTAAGCTTAAAGATAGATAATTTTGAATGTAATAATTAGTTTTTTTTTTTTAGCGAGTGTACGAAATTAATCAAATATAATAAGCAAATTATAAACTGTGATCTATATATATGAATGTCTTCCCATAATAAATCAATGATCCCAGAAAATTCAAACAAAAATATAACCCACCTACCCTGTTCAAGAACGTGCCACCCTTCAAATCCAGACACGTTAGCCTTTTCATTAACTTCCTTTGCATTTTCTCATCGACTTATAAAGTTTCAATTTTGGGATCAGCTGTTTTGACGTTGTGATGTAAATATGACTATTCCAGCTGTTTGATTTAGGATTTTTATTGAGTCAAGTGTAGTTATTTTTTGATTTATAAGTATAATTTTAAATCCAACCCGGATATGATGGTTTTTTATTTTATACGGTAACGTAATGAAAACGGATCAACCCTTCAATTTTTGACGATGACTCGATGATCACCGAATTTCAAACATGCCCTTAAATAAAGTCGTTCAAATACCACTACTAAACTCACCACCTCTTTCCGTCAGTTTGTTCCACTTCCAGAGATGGCTTGTGGTAGCACCGTTGCCTTTCTCGCTACTGTTTTTCTTCTTCAATCTGCAGTTGCAAGAAGTGATTTTTTATCTCCACTTCTCTCTCCCATCTTTGGTTTGTCTTTCAATCTTTAATCATCCTTCTTTGCATCAATTTAGCTCCAAGTTTCTAACTTTTTGTTGATTATTGCAAATGTTCCCTGGTGGGATTAAGGTTTAAATGCTTTTATTGACTGGGTCTTTCTTTATTGTCAATTTTATTGTGATTATATTGATGTTATTGCAAACAATTTAAAATTGCAGATGATGTTTGCAAAAAGATAGAATGTGGAAGAGGAACTTGCAAGCCATCCAAAAATAGCACTTTCTTTTATGAATGTGAATGTGATGCTGGGTGGAAGCAGACTCGCTCTCAACTTGATGATAATCTCAAGTTTCTTCCTTGCATAATCCCCAACTGTAAATGTTCTCTCCCTCCTTTTATAAATTCAAAAATATTAATTTGTGCGCCATATATGATAGGATTTATGCAATTCCTTTTATTTGGGTAAAAATCATTCACATCCTTGTGTCTTATGTGTTCCATTTAGTATAATATGGTTTTGTGTTATCAATTTCAGTTAATTTCAATGATTTGTTCATTTCTGATATTTTGTTCGAATAGTTTGTAAATTTGTAGAAGCTTATTAGAGGCACTGGATCGAGATGTGTGATTGGTAAATCTATCTATTTCCAGTGATATAAATCTATCTATGTGCTTTTGGGTAAAAGATATATCTATTTGCTTTTGGGTAAAAGCAAGGATGAAATGTTCGTTCAAGAGTACATAATGAGCTAGAAATGAGTTCAGTGCTTTTGGTTTTCAAAATACTGAATCAGAGGGTATATGACCTTAGCATATAGTATACTATTCATGCGTCTCACCAAGGACAAACAAAAAATCCTTTAAAAAATTAGATATTTTTATTTGATCGAGTTGGTAATGCATATTAATCACTGTCTTATCTAGGATTCGTGTCGTACTGAAACTTAAAAACTATACTTAATAGGTGTAAACAAAGCACTTGTCAAGATTTGATGCTGATGTTTACCTATTACAAGTCAAAGATTAGGCTGTGAATTGATTATCTTCAACTAATCTTAACAGATTGAGAGATTCAATCACATTTCAATTCTGTTTTTTCTTTTTAATTCTATAATTAACCCTTTGTTCGCAATTTTTGCTTATTTGTTTTGATGTTTTAGGTACCATGGATTACTCGTGCGAGGCAGCACCCTCACCTGTTCAAGATAAAACGAGTAAAGTTAATGCATCAGTTTTTGAGCGTAAGCACTATTAATACCAATATTTGCTCTAACCATTCAGTACTTCTCCCAGTAAATGCTTGAGCTATTTGTTTGTTTGGGTTTTATAGCCTGCTTCTGGACTGACTGTGGAGGTGGTTCCTGTAACAAGACATCTATGTTCTCTTATAATTGTGAATGTAAGGAAGGTTACTATAACCTTCTAAACATGTCTGCCTTTCCATGCTTCAGAGAATGTGAGAAACCCTGCCATAGAAACTTTTTAGATTACTTTATCTGAATCTGAAATTGATTTCTTTAGTTATATATCTATGTTTTCAAAAAGAATACTGATATGGGTTTTGATGCTTGGTTTTACAAGGTTCAATTGGAATGGATTGCACAAATCTTGGAATTTTAACTCCAAACAAATCAGCTCCTTCATCATCTGTATCTAATGAGAACAGTCAGAATCAAGGTATCCTTTAGATTAAGTTTTAACAACATTCTGTCAAATTAGAATTATTACTTCCAGGAAATTTTTTCTAGAGCGGAATCATAAAGCAAATTTTGACTTCTAAATTATAAAAGACAGGTGCTCCTACATTTAACATACATCTCCCTTTTGCAGCTACTTCAGGTTTACAAGTTAGTCTCCATTGGTTGATCATCTTGATGATGTCTCTGGCTGTGTTTCAGTGGAAGTAGAGTTGTAGTGTTGCTTTCTTTTCAGTTAGATTGTTTTAATTTAAAATTTTGATGTTAAATTATTACATTTCTTTGTCTATAATTATATTCTATAATGCCTTAGAATGAACAAGGATTAGGGGAGTGTAGCTTCTAAATCCATTATACAGAGACATATGTATACAGAACATTAAACCACTTTATTATGTTTATTTCTTTACTTGTTTATGTATAAATAATATTTCATTTAGATGTCAAATTAACATGTTTCTTTAAAGGCAAATCGAGGTTTAAGTGCACAATGGAAAGACCTTATTGGACTCAAAACTTTTAGGGCCCATGTCACTGAACACAATGGACCGAAAGCCCATATTTGTTAGGTTTTTCATCATTAACAGAAGGTTTAATGGACTTTTGTCTTCTTTTTGGGAAATTTAAAGCATATCTGATTGATTGAAATAATAGATCCATCGAGCTGACAAAAGAGAAAGAAAGCCCAGCTACTAATTGCTCTCTGCAACAAGTCCACTCATACACGCCCACCAATCAATCCCTCATCAAACTCTCCTTAAAAAGCTTCTGATCTTCAAAAAAAATAGCCCTAAAAAGCTAATCTAATGACCTAAAATGTCCCGTCATATAAATTTTAAATAAATCCTTTTATCAGTACATAATCACTCTTCCACTTTAATAACTCATTTTGGTACGGCGCCTCTACTCGGCGGCGTACGGCCCACCAGCTACTAATTACTCCCATAGCTTAGCAGATTTGACCCTTTCATATCTTTTGCTATTTTACTTTTTGTAAAGTAAGGATCAGACCAAAATTGCAAATTTCATATTTCAAGCCGATAAATTTATGAAAATTGAATATATTTTCATTGGTTCAACCGCTTAATCAATTTAAAAAAAATAGATTATGAAATAAGAACCTCTAAGCAGTGAGAAGTGGCCAGTGAGTACTCGGAACCAGTATCGGTCAGCCTTAGTTCACTGTCTGTGTATCTCTCTCGTCTCTCTCTCATGTAATCTTTGGTTTCTGTGTGTGAATTATTGCACTGCTTTTGGCTTCTAATTGCATCTTTCACTTTTACATTTATCGATTTTCGTTTCTTCAGAAATTTCTTTTTTAAAAAAGAGGGTTTCCTTCTCGTTTCAAAGGTCTCACAAATGGGTGCATCAAATGCCCTTTGGTCCATGAACAAGGCACTTTGCTTTCCTTTTTCTGCTATTTTTTGTACCCAATATTTCCAAACATGCCCTTTTGTAAATATAAAAATGTAGAGATGTGACCCATTTTTCTTCTGTCTTTGGAAATTGAAGCTACATCTCTACAACTATACATGTCCATGTTTTTAGCTCATTTATGTGACAGTGAGAGATTAGTCACATTCTTTCATGCTGTCTATCACCAAACTGCAACTCTATGGTGCCTTTGTCGGTGGTACCCTATGTCCTTTTTTTTTTTTTTTTTTTTATTATGGTGCCTTTGTCGGTGTTACCCTATGTCTTGTTTTTTTTTTTTTTCTTTGTAGATATACTACTACTATATAGATTAATTACCCTATGTCCTTTTTTTTTTTTTTTTTCTTTGTAATATTACTACTACTATATAAATTAATTAATTAATTAATTAATTTTGTTTTGTGGCTTACCTGATTAAGAAAATAATCTTAATTATCATTGTCATAATTGCAGGCATGAAATGCTGTTTGTCAATAGATTATATAGGAGTTGCTTCTCTTTTGTGCTTCAGTATAATCATTAGGATAAGCTTAGTTAACACAAAAAATGGAGTTTTGCATGGTTTATGGAGTTGGGACATCGCCCATTATCATGAATTTAGAATTTTTATCCATTATCCTTTCATTCAAAATGCTAAAACAATTTAAGATCATTAATTAAAAAAAAAGAATATAGTAATTAAATATTTAAAAATAATATCATGTAATTTGGTTCAAATCTTTCGATTTTAAAAAATTTATTATCAGCGGTCATTTCAACGCGATAAATCTTCTAATAAATAAACAAAAAAAAAAAATGAAAATAGTGACTCAAATATTTGATATGCTAGCTATATGTCCTGAGCGGCTGCTAGATTGTTGCTTGTTGCTATCCAAGATCAATTTGGATTTTAGATAATTTGTAGAGATCAGAAGCAATCAATATCTATCGGACACGCATGGACGAGTAACAGGCTCCATCGATTATTAGATGGGAAAATATTTATGCAGCAAGTCAAATCTTATCACATTCCATTTTTTGTACTGATACTCAAAAGAAATATTCATTGAGAACCCGAAAATAAAATGAGTCTGTTACTCAAAAGAAGATAAGTAGGAAAAAAAATAAAAAAATTACTGGGTAAAAATTTATAAATTTTAAATAAAATAAGTTGAATTGAGATTGTGAGAGGGTCAATATTTGATCCATTAAAAGGAAAAATAATAATGTGAATTTAGCAGGAAAAAAGTGAAGTGCTCAAATGACCTGTCATCTCAAATGTCATTTTAAGCCTTTCCATGATGAATATAACGAGAATGGTTTCTGACTAGCGAATTTGATTTGGATAAGTGGAGATTATATGTGTTTATATATAGTGGGCTTATTGTTCATATGATCAAAGATTCCATTGATTTTGAATTTGAATTCTTGTTGAGTTACATAGTTAAAAAAATAGTATGGATTCTTCTCTGTCATCCACACAAAGAATAAAGTTCCCTACACACTTAGTTTTTCCTATCACACCCAAATTCAATGGCTAATGTCACTCTTCTTCACCCTATAGATGTTAGTGGGTTTCAAATGTTAACATCTCCATTTAATCTTATTTCATACTTTTTGTTAATACTTTATAATATTAATTGCAAAATTTAAACTCTACTGGCTTTGATTTCTGACAATTTGATTTGGTACTAAAAAACTGTAAGTTTTTATTAAGCCAAACATGGTTATTAAATGAAACGGAAAATAAAGCTAATTCGGAAGTGTACTCTACAGTTAAAGCTTTCCATTCTCATGCTCATTTCCAACAGTGAATCTCAATTCCATAATCTTTATTATCTTTTGTGATTAACTAAAGCTTGGTCATGATGCAACAATTAATTATTTAATTGCATGATGTAAAGAGGGACTTAATTCATTCTCTTTTGTTCTTTACTAAATATAATATGTTCGCACGAGTGTTAGCACCCGCATTATAATCTCAGTGATGATATTAAAATTAAGAATCATAACCTTAAAATGGAATCTTTGGGCTAATTATCTTCTTATTTTATATATTAAAATAATGATGTAGTCTTTTTTTTTTTTTTTTTCAAGTGTTAAGCACCCGCATTTAAATCTCAGTGATAGATATTAAAATTTAAGATCACTAAACCTTGTTAAATGGAATCTTTGGTGCCTAATTTATCTTCTTATTTTACTATAATAAATTAAATGATACGGTGAAAGTACTTTTCTTTTTTTTTTTTTCCTGAAATTCAAATAATTTTTAATCATATTATATCTCCTTGATATCTACAACTCTATATATTATTTTTTTATATACGATCTAAAATTAAATTTCCAATTGAGAGCGATTTAAAGATGCAAGTTCTTATAATAGTTATAATGTTTCACAAAATATTAAGAGCATTTGTTAGAATGCTTCAATATATTTTCAATCTGCAACATGAAATTTTTTCGTACTAAAATGCGTTAGTAAATAGCTTGTCTTTCTAAACATTGATAATAAGTAAGCCAAAAAGTCTAGCATAATGGCAAAGAGGTGCAAATATGAGTTTTTTTTTTTTTTTTTTTCCTTGAAATTCAAAGTATTTTTACTCATATTTTTCTCTTGATATCTACAACCAATATTATTTTTTATACTATCAAAATTAAATTTCATTGAGAGCGATTTTAAAGATGCAAGTTCTTATAATAGTATAATGTTTCAAAAATATTAAGATTTGTAGAATGCTTTCAAATATATTTCAATCTGCATGAAATTTTTCGTACTAAAATGCGTAGATAGCTTGTCTTTCTAAAATGATAATAGTAAGAAAAAGTACTAGCATAGTGGCAAAGAGGTGATTGTTTATATAGTAACAATAGGGGGAATTTTAGGGTTTCAAAGGGTACAAGTAGTATTAAAGCATTGAGGTCTAGTGTTCCTATCTCCTGATATTAATTGCATAAAGAAATATGATAAATCAAAATCTATTGCTTCCACATTTTTAGGCTTAATTTTCTTGATCATACATAAATGGTTTTCAATCAAACAAAACCTATCAATCATGGCTCTGAGAAGGAAAAAAAAAAAAATTTAAAGGCCAAAGAGAAAAGCAACAATCCCTTTCTATATTTCACTTCGGGCACATTGATGTGAACCAAGAGGCCTAATGATAGAGGACACTTGACCTTATTCTCTGTAGGTCAGGGCCGTTTAAGTTACAAGAGTATATAGTTTTCCACAAGGCAGAGGCACTTAGGACCTTTTGAATCTCCATCCTCCTTTCTTGTAATATCTACCCTCTTAATGGACTCCCCTAATAGATTTTATAATTTCAATATGTAATTATGTTGAATTTATACTTTATTTCAATCTCAACATTTGTGTTTTAATTTATAGCAAAGAGAAAAATCTTTTAAAAAAAAGTATTTGTCCATAAAATAACATTATATATAGTCTTATTAGACTAGCTACTTCTGTATACTATTTAGGTCAAATTTTTTACTACCCATAAAACTCATAGATGCCAAAAAGGCAATTTAATGTTGAGAATGACAAATGTATAAGATATAGTTTTGTGTGAGAGCAAACATAAATTTTGGCCGAAGATAGGAAATATAATTTAGGGCCACCCTTCATTTAATGCTAGCGTGACTAGCTAAGGGCACGTCCGTTGGACACGGACCCAACCAGAATTATTGTGGACCAGCTTCAATATTTTCGGGTATGCTATCAATTTTTGGACTTGCCCTTTCAAAGGAATTCATTTATCCAATAAAGAAGAAAAAATTTGTAAAACAAATACATAAAAAAACTTATACACCATCATAGAAATACATAATTATTATATTTTCATGAGAATTTTACTTAAAAATTCAGTGATTTAAAATATAAGTGTTACTGTTAAAAGAATTTTATCCGAATATCAAACAAATTAAACGTATTTTAATTGATATCGAAAATATAATTTATTTAATTTTATAAATAATGGTATCTTTCTTGAGGTGATAAGGTTCATTAAGTGAGGAACCATTTGACCAATTCAT